GACCCCCCCCCCCCCGAACTCTGCACTGACCATGGCATAGTCTACCCCCCCTCCGGCCCTATGCCTCCCACAGCTGAGGCTGAGCTAAAAAAGAACCCTTTTGAATAGGGCACAAATATATTGATTATACAGAATAATTAAAGTTCAGCTTTCATGATGGAATTTGCACTACAATACCGTACTTCAGTGAGGTGAACTGAAGCTTTTTTTTATAATGTAAATGTTTTGTAATAAAAAATAAATATAAAATGAGCACTATACACTTCATATTCCATGTTGTAATTTAAGTCAATATATTAGATATAGAAAATATCCAAAATATTTAAATACAGGCAGTCCCCGAGTTACGCGAATCCGACTTATGTCGGATCCGCAGTTACGAACGGGGCCCTCTCCCTGGTCTCCAGCAGAGCAGGGAGAGGAAGCAAAGCGGCGGAACACACGGGCAGCGGACAGCCCAGACGCGTCTGGGCTGTCCGCTGCCCGTGTGTTCCGCCGCTTTGCTTCCTCTCCCTGCTCTGCTGGAGACCAGGGAGAGGGCCCCGTTCGTAACTGCGGATCCGACATAAGTCGGATTCGCGTAACTCGGGGACTGCCTGTATTTAAATATTTTGGATATTTTCTATATCTAATATATTGACTTAAATTACAACATGGAATATGAAGTGTATAGTGCTCATTTTATATTTATTTTTTATTACAAAACATTTACATTATAAAAAAAAGCTTCAGTTCACCTCACTGAAGTACGGTATTGTAGTGCAAATTCCATCATGAAAGCTGAACTTAAATTCTTCTATATAATCAATATATTTGTGTCCTATTCAAGAGTCCTTTTTAGCTTAGCCCCAGCTGCGGGCGGCACAGGGCCAGAGTTGGGTAGACTCTGCCATGGGTAATGCAGAGTTTGGGGGGGGAGGGGTGCTCAGTCCCCAACTGCAGGTGGCATAAGGCGCAGCCGTAGGGGTCAGCCCCCAAGCTCAGGGGAGGAGTAGACCCCACCGTGGGCAGTGCAGAGTTCAGGAGGCTCAGTCCTAGGGCAAAGAGGGTGGCTTTCTGAGGGAGGGGGACGGACAGTTTGAGCAAGTCTCCCTCACCCCCCAGGCTGTTTTATTTTAAAAAATATGGTCACCTGGGAATGGAGAGGGACGGGTGTTTGCCCAGACAGTCTGGTATTTGTGGCCCCTGTCCAGTACTATAGTTTAAACTGACCAGTGACACAAATTGAAATGTCCGGTATTCTCTGATTTTTCTCTGATGGAAGGCCAGCGGGAAGGGGGCGGGAGCGGGGAGTATGGAGTGTGTTGATTTAAAGGCGCAGTGACTTTTTTTAATTCAACAATTTTTTTTTTTCTCAACCAATTGTCCCCCGTCCTTCCCCCCCGCCATGTTTGGGATTTTTTGTGAAAGTATCTGGCAACTCTAGTCAGGGTCTTTACTTCTCTTGTTTACTTCTCCACTGGAGACGGAACTACAGCTTCAGGGTTTTTTCCTCCTTTCTGGCTGCTTTGTTTTTCTGTGCACCCTCTGGTGGCGGTTTGCATTACTGTGCCTTACCAGAGATGGTCTCTAAAGCAGATCATGCTGGTTTACTGACCTCTGTGATTAACACAAGTTAATTTTTTTAAGGGATTAATTCTGCCCTGTGTTAGTCGCTGGCATTAACATCCACAAATGTACAGCCCTAATTTAAATCATGATATTTATAATTTAAATCCATTTACGTTTAAATCATAATTTTTATTTCCATGTTAATTCTTTAAATTTTTCCCAGTGATAAACTGGATATATGCACTTGTTACTTTAATTAATTTCCAAATAAGAATTTCAGATTTTACATAGATTTATTTTCTACTTAGGAATTTTCACACTTCTAAAATTGCATGAGCACCCTTACTCTGAGAATAACATGAACCCAGATACAAGACTGATAAATATACAAACCATAGAAACTGCAAACTTTGGATAAGGAATCGGTGAGG